AAAAACAAAACTGCAAGTCTCCACAAGCTCTTTTCATAGCTTTTGGTCATGGCTCATAGTTTGCGGCCAGATTCAGAGCTACAAATGGATTTTTTTTTCTCCTTTTTTTTCCTTTCTAAACACTCCACCACAGACATCTCTCCAGACCCATGGCAAATGAGTGACAAGGACGGGACAAGTCCCCTCACCAGGCACGCTGGCCGTTAGGCAGCTCTGGGGGCTCCATGGACATTGGGTGGGAGAGGGCAGTTGCTTGGTTTCCATCCACGAAACCTTCCTTGATAAATGAAGCCTTTGGAGGAAGGTTTCTATTTCTTTGCGTTTTGGTGAGGTTGTGTGCATGGTTGGGCTCTCCTAGTCGGTGCAATTGCCTGTGTCCACGAGCCATGAGCTAGACCAGCAGGCCCATTGCACAGACCATCATCCCACTGTGTGTAGGTGTCCAGGACCCCCTTGGGGCAGCTCTGGTGAGGAACCAAGGGCATGGCTCACTAGGGACCTTTTCTTTTAGCCGGCTGTTTTCTAACCTTCCCATTGGTGGTGGTGACTGGAAATGCCCCAGTTTTGATGGCTGGTGGATCTTCAGCCTTGCCCCCTTGTCCTCCATCAGCAAGTCAGCCCTGACCTGGTTCCTCAAACAGTGTCAGGCCTGTGAATCCCCCAGCAAAAGGCAATAGGCTGGGGGGCTTCAGTCTACACCATCTTCTGGGTTATGTGGCACCGAGGGCATAGCCACCTTTGCTTTTTTTTTCTAAATACAGTGGTCACAATCCGTTGCATTTAGGTCATATCCTTGGCCTTCCCCTTGTCCAGATATTACCCTCCAAAGCAAAACCCTGCCTACACAGAGAGGGAAAATGGCCACTTTATATTTCTGAAGCGACTGTCTTCAGCCAGGACGGAGCTTTCCGTGCTCGGAAATGCTTTGCCCGTGCCAAGCCCAAGGCAGCAGATGCCTGTGCTCCGACTGGAGGCTCCCGAGAGGCTCCGAGCCTCCTCCAGCCCTTCCCGGCCTGGCCCTGTGCACAGACCGGCACAGAGAAAACACGGCTAGCCCAAGGTGGAGCTAGGAGGACACCGTGTGACTACCCACCACAACTACAGGCTTCTCAATTCCCCGTAAGATTGGGAGTTCTGGGGTCCGTGGCCTCCAGTAGCTCCTCACGGATTTGCACTGGTTTCGCTGCGTCGCTTTTCCCTGCCAGAGGGTAGGATTGCTAGGTCAATCTAGCCTAGATCTAGAGCTAGGCCAGCTCTAATGAGGGAAAAATACCTAGGTAAAGCAAGGCCAGCTCTAAAATATACTAGGATATTATTATTATTTTGCAGGGCTCAAGCTGGCAGCAGCACTTGGGCAATGCATTTGGCTTGGGCAAGTATCAGTGGGGTAGCAGGAACCTACAGGCAAGCAGGAAAATCCACATTAGATGCAATAATTGCATACAGCTCAGCCTGAGGCAAGGATTAAACCTGCAAATATTTTTAAGTCCTTACTTCCCCCCCACCCAGGTGTTTATAAAAATATTAATAATATTAAAAATATGGTTCTTCCCTCGTTAGAGAGCACTCACACGTCTTTCTGCGTCGCAGCAAGCATCCACCGTGCAGCAGAGGTGGGGCTGGGGGCAGCCCGCCACTGGTGGCCCCCTGGTTCCACCTGGAACTTGTCACCCTGAGGGCCACAGCAATGAAGTCCCCAGGCTCCCCGGGGGCTGCTGGTGTCCGGGAGGCTCTTCCCGGGGCACACAGGCTCCCAGCACCTGGGCAAACCACCTCAAGCAAGTCGGATCACCCCCGGGATTCAATTGTCCGGTACCTTGGGAGCTGCCAGGGCTTCTCACCGGGAATGCAAAACAGGAATAGCGTCACTTTTACAGGTGTGTGCATGCACACAGAATGTTTATAATACACAAAGAGAACTATTGCAGATAATTGTAATATTTATACGTGCCTAGGCGACAATAAATGCATTATCTGTATAATGTATGAATAAATAGCATATATGATTATATTATACCGTATAATAGAATATTTTTATAAAATTGTAATACTTATCTTCAGTTTATTTGTGTCTCTATGTGTGTACAATGCAATATCTATACCTACACACACACAACCATAAAAGAACAAATACCTTCAGGACCAGAGCATTGAGCTTAGCCCTGGTCAGACCTGGCTTAGCAGCTAATGATGAGCTGCCCCCTTCCTCCGAGTCCTGCACACAGCGAGGCTTGTTCTCTGTGGCAGAACAAAACGGGTGTTTTGCTGGTGCTGCAGGTATTTCATGCTGCAGCCCTCTCCCTAGAGGCCCATTTAAAGTCGCCCAGTTTCTTCTGCCAGGGAAATAAAACTGAGCTCCAGTGATAGGGAGGCTTCCTTGCAGAGCGTGCTGTGCACCGCAGATTGGCTTGTTTACCGGCTAGAGGATTAAATAGACTGCCAGTGGAGGGGAAAAAATATGTAAGTGGTTTCAAGTACGCCTTGGAAGCGGCGTTTCGCTTGAAGGAGGCTTTTCAGGCTTGCTTGTGTTTGCTGGCTGCCGCTTCACCTGCCCCTGGTGAGCGCAGCGCTTCTGGAAAAGCTCTGTTTTAGACTCTGTGTACGTGTGTGCAAATCCTTCCTGCACCACCCCTGGGCAGGACCCCCTGTTCCCATCGCTGCTCAGGCCAGGGGATGTTCCCATCGCTTTTGCTCTGCGGGGAGCCTTGCAGAGAAGGGGGACCGAAGAGCAGCGTTTTAGCTCAAAGAGAACTCACCCGAGTCCACTTTGGAGTTTGCTTGCCTTTTCTGGTGTGTCCCCAAAGCAACAAAGCTAAAATGATAACAATGATAACAATGATAACAATGATAATAATCTTTCAACTCCCTCCCAGTATCCCCATCCCAAAACACAGAAATGAACCTGAGATTTAGGTTCCTGGGGAAACAACTAACAGCTCCTCTCAAGCATCAGTCCGAACTTCACTGTTGGTGCTGCAGCCCAGATCAAAGATTTAGCAGCAGGTCTTAAGGTGAAAGTGAAAAAAAGGGAAATCTCTTCCTTTTACATCTTCTCTTTGTTTTCACCCGCTTTCTGTTGTGCTCAGCTGCTGGTGGCTGCACAGCTCCAGGTTGCAGCACGCAGCCCAGAGCGGTGCTTCTTTTCGTGTTAGCCAAAGCAACCAGTTGTTCTTCTGCTAACAACTCACATTTTGCTGACCCCAACCAAGAGAAATTAAAACAAAGTCAGATTCAGACTGGGATCTCATAGGGTTTGATGGATTGCTCATTCCAGGGCAAATGCTGAGCCCAGCATGAGCTGCCCAGGACGCAAGATCAGGGGGAAGGAGCTCTCTTCTTCCACCTCTTCCTCCTTAAGCATTCTGCTAGCTAAGGAGCCTGAGGAACAAATACAACAAAACCCATAAAAAGGACCCTGCATCTTCTTCTGCTTTCATAGAACAAGCAGTAAAAGTCACCGGTGGTGACAGTAGTGGCTGGTGCTGCTATCAGGGATGGCTTCTCCAGACACACACTCATGTCCCCCTTGCCCAGGGCTTTGGCTTCCTCTCCATGGATGAGGACTGGGAGCAGCAGCGAGAAGGTGGATGGTGCTGCTGGGGTGTCCAGCACCACAGGGAGCAAAGGGCGCTGTCCCCACTGTCCCCTGCTCCCCGCAAAGGCCAGCAGTGGTTTCCTCAGAGGAACCGTGAGGAAACACTTGTTCCTTGGCAGTTACAGCTACCCTTGGCCAGCACAAGGGAAGAGAGAAGGAAGGAGAAAGAATAAACAGGTTAAACGGCCAAGCAGCTAGCCTTTCGTTGCCCTTAAACAAAAACAAAAACAAAAAAAGGGGAAAAAAAATCCCCTTTTATTGAAACCATTTCCTCTGGTTATATCATTTCTCCGGAGCCTGGAAGTAATTTTGAGGCTGAAGCCCGTGCAGATGCCCAGCTTCCCTCCGAGCGCTTTGCCCCGCGCAGCGGCGCTTGCAGGGCCTTTGCCGGGGCAGAAACATCATCAAGGGTCTTGGAGACGCCGTGTGGAGCCCCAGCACCTCTGGGGAGCGGGACACCTCCAGCACGGGCCAGGTGTGCTGCTGCTCAGGGTGGCCCGGCCAAGGCCCCTAAGTAGGACACAGCTGGCGCCCATTACGTGTTCCCGTTCGCGTCCTCTGTCGCAGGTTTCCAGCAGAGCACATGGACCACGTCTGTGCCAGGGGTTTGCTGCAGCGCCGTGCTGGGCCCCAGGAAGCAGCGCTGCAAGAGGAGGTTGGCTTTCCCTGCAACAACATCCACAGGCTCCAGTCCACGACCTTGGAGGGAGCAGGCGCAAAGATGGGCTATTAGATATCCCGTTTTTACACAGAAAAGCAGATTATTAAAGGTGAGGCTCCGTGGCATTTTTCAGCAGTTTCATTCAACTCTTGACTCTTCGGGACCATTCTCCAGAAGAGCCTACAGCTTATCTGGTTTGGTGGGAACTGGCCTCTTTGGCAGCACGGCCCAACAGGCCTCTGCCACATCCAGAGACAAGTGATAGCTGCACTGCAGCAGGGACATGGGGACTTCTGTGTCAAACCTTCATGCTGTCAAGCAACGGTCCTCCTGCACAAGCAGCTTCTAGACCATCAGGGCAGTAACACAGAAATTTTCAATGAGCGGATCATGACTGCAAGAGAGGACAGGGGTTTTAAATGTAACCTGAAACGTGTAAGCTGCAAAAGGCTCTTCTTGGTTAGGCAACATCAATTTTACAGTAGTTCTTTTAAAACTGGGGGGGTGAAAAGCAAGTGAAAAGTTTGGCCTGACACGTTTGACTTGGAAACTGGCAGAAACACAGTAAGAAAAAACCCCAGATCTACAGCATTACTTTTTAACCACTTTATTTGTGTGTTTCTATAAACTTGTTAGCTACTGGACGTTTCATAAACCGTAAAAACAAACCCAGCCCTCCTACCCCCAAACCATGATCCATCCAGCTTGGCACTGCTTAGGCAGGTGGTGGCCCTAAATAACCTCCTGCTGGGCGCAGGCCAGCAAGGAGCTCGCTGTGTCAGACCCCATGTGTCTGAACCGCAGACAGCAGATGAACCTGAAGAGGTGGCTGCTCTCCTCCCCCGCGGATGGGATGGATAGAAAACGGGGGCAGGTATGAAAATATTTCCCTTGATGGAAAGCCAGAGCCTGATGGAGAAGTCCCATCCATTTGAAGGACCGAATCCAGTGGCTCCGCACCAGCCTCGCCGGCTGTCACCACGCAAGGGACGAAAGCCCATCAAAAAGCTCATGATATGTGTCCTTAATGCTCCCAGAAGCGGCGCTCCCCTGGCCCGGCCGGCTGTGCGGGTGCCGGTGCCTCGGGGTGTAAGGCACGACGCGGAGCCGAGGCCGGGCACGGGGCAGGAGGGGCTGCCCAGGGCAGCCGGGTGCCCCGGCTCTCGCCGACAATACCCTGTTGTCCCAAAGGAAAGCACCATGTTCAAGCACGGACGCGGAGCAGTGCGCTCAGTTGCCCAGCTTCATGTCCGCGCCGCGGAGCAGCCAAACGAGGCGGAAGCAGGCGGCCAGGAATCCCGTGCCCAGGAGATCCCCCAGGGCGGTGAGGTAGGGGATGGAGAAGTTATCCGGGTCCAGGGCCTTCCTCCACATGAGGCGCACAATGATGTCAGCCACGTAGAGCAGGATTCCCACCTGAAGGGACACAAGACAGAGGATTGCAGTGGAGTTGGCCCCAGGATAGCTGACCCAGCACACACAGCCCACACATCCACAGCATCGGGACCCCCTGGACACCAGCCACGCAGCATCCCAACACAAAGACTGCACCTGAGCTGCTCCCAAGCACCACACAGCCCAAAAACGGGAGGCTGGAGACAACGGCAGCCACTCTGTGCTGGGAAGGGATGTCCCCGTTCCCACCGCCGTGAATAGCAGCGCTCCCACTCACTCCATCCCAAACAGGACTGCCTTGCATAGGCTTGGAGCCAATTTTGGTTCTCTTTTCAGACTTCTTTTCTCGCATTAGAAATTCATTCATTATCTGCTTTGTCTTTTCTAAAAGTCTCAGTGGACCACTGGAGTTTTTATATCAAAATTACTCCAAGCAGCACTGACATGTTAAAGAGAATAACCACTTTTTTTTCTCTTCACTTCAACACTTCTTAAATTGCGATTTCTTTGAATTCCTGTTACACTCCTGATCCTGATAAACAGATGGAGGAAAAAAAAAACACTTCTGTTAAAGATTAAAGACCTCTGGTTAATTGAATTATGGAAGGAGCAAGAACGGGGCACTCCATAGCTGCAGTCCCTCCCTGGGCGACACAGCTCCAGAGGAACCAGACAGAGGTGCCATTTCTAAAGGTGAAAACAGCAACCTGGAAGGGGTGGCGGGGAAGAGGGAAAAGGACAGAGGAAGGAAGCAAATTAAATAGCAGAATCACAGAAACCACAGCTAGATAGAAACTCAAGAGGATATATATATAGAGCACCGCTCTGCTTCAGGGCAGGATCAAATACGTTTAAGCACTTCCCAAAAGTGCTTTGATTAACCTATGCTACACTGATTAACCTATGCCATACAACCCCCAAAATGGGGAAGCCACATGCCAGGCAATTAATTAGTTCTGTGGTTTAATTTTTTTTGCCACTTTTATTTTTCCCCAAGATCTTTAAACTACTTTTTTTTTTTTTCATTTGAAACTCATGATTTCTTATTTCATCCCTGGTGACTAAACAGAAAATGTTATCTCTTCCTTCCCTACAGAAACTGGGTAGTTTAATTTAAAGACTACTATGAGATTTTCCCCAGTCTCTCTCCTCTAGACCAGCTAAGCCCAGTCCATTGCAGGGCTCTGTCATGGGGATGATTCACTTTGGGTTCCCTTCGTCTGACCCAAACCGTCCCCTCCCATTCTTTGAGACTTGATTTATAAATTATAATGTAGGGTGAAGAAAGAGTCAGGCTGAGCATATTCTTCTCTGCCGGCCTCCACGGGCATGTTTCGGGGTCGGCAGCGTGGCTGGGATCCTGCTGTTTATCCTGTCACTTACCCTGTACTTTCCTGCTTGGCTCTGCTTGAGGAGTTACCTCGATGCATAAAGAGAAGAATAAATATTTTCCTTTTCAGCTTCGACTGCGAGTGCTAGGCGTAGGGTTGTACAAAGGTCAGGAAAACCGGATTGTTTACACATGCAAGGAATTCACCCGGACACAAGGCTGCTCAGAAGGCAAAGCGGGAAGCCAGCTACCTCCCCCTGCAAACTAATGAATCACTAATTTAAAAGGGCAAGTGAAAGCAGAGCCTCTGAGCTTAAGTGACAGCTGTGGGCATTTGTGAGCGAGACAGGGACATCTGCAGCGCAGCAGAACAACGTAAGGGACATGAGGCACCGGCAGGAAAATCTGTGTGAACTGCCCATTGGCTACCCAGAACTTTTATTTTCAGAAATGAAAATTGTTTTTGATGTGAATGGTCCTGTTCACAAGGGTCCCCAGTTCTTCACCATGATTTGGGAAACTAGTTTCTGAAATCAGTGGGGAAACCTGTGGACTGGGGTTATATCCTCTCCAATGCCTTTTACTGGGATCACCAGAGACCATGCAGAAATGCTTGATGCAACTGCATCAGTGTGGCAAAAGAGGGTAGGTACCACCTGGAGCAAGAACTGGAACCTCCTTGCTAAGGGCATGTCTGCAGACTCACACAGCAGCTCAGCAAATAACAGTAACTTTTTTCTCTTTACGTTTTGGATTCCTCCCTCACCCATGAAGACAGTCACGCGGGAAACCTCACAATTTGGGTAAAGTATTATCAAAGACAAAAGACACCTGGTAGAAAGCACTCCTGAGTGGGGGTCATTGCTGGCAGTTTTACCATGGCTCCTGCTTAGCCTGGAGGTTGCTTTGTTTTCATGGTGGCCAAGCAGTTCCATATGGATAAGAGGCTGGGATTTACCTGCAGCAAAGCAGCAGTCAGATAAAGTGTCACAAAGACGAAGGACAGAGACGTGTGGCCTCCCTGCAGCAGATGGATGGTGTAGAGGAACACAAGGTGTCCTGGGATGACGAGGAAGAACAGGACTCGGGCTGACTTGGAATTCACCTCTGCAGAGGATACAGACAAGAGCATCAATCACGGATGCTCTCCTGTGCCCGGCTCCAAGCTGCTCCCTCAGTTTGCAGGGTGCTCCACAGTAGCCCCCAAACTTGCAGGGAAAAATCAACGGCAACCTGCAATCTATAAAATACAACACAGCCACAGCCAGTTTTGCTGATGTTTAGGTTAATCCATTGCTGAGGATGGAGCGATTTGTCAGCAAGGCTATTAATTCACCCAACTCCCCCTGCCCCAACTAGATGATAGCTCTAGCATGGCAATGGTTAAAGTGACTTTCTATCAGATCAAATTTGAGATTCCAATTTCAACACCTAGTTCAAATTTCCACCTAGTTTTTGGACCACCAGGCTTAAGAAAGAAGCCATATGATGACAAGCCTTGAGATTTGCAAGGCTAGGATTCAAGATCTACCTGAGGAGAAGAACGTGGTACATGGGTTGGGCCAATTCTGCCTCATCTTATAGGGCAAAACTCCAGGCATGCTCCAGAAGTGCAGGAATGTGGAAATACGGCTGGCCTGGATGGCTACCAGATTCCCTCCGACGCCTATGAGGAGAAAACACAGCAAACCTGTAAGTTGCCTTCACTGGGAGAGGACACATCAGTGTAAAACCTAACCCAAGGCAGGTGAATATGCATTCATTTACAGTGAGAGTAAGAGAACCTGATAGCACAGTGTCATGGTGACACGACACTACTCACTCAGCAAGAACAGCTCATAAAAACCAGGAAGGCTGCAGCAATCACCTTCTTTTAACTGTTTTACTGGAAACATATTTTCCTCCTCTTCCCTGCCCCAGTTTCCAGGCCATTCTGCCTCTGAAGAGGATGTAAATACACCTGGCTCAAACACCTGGGGAAAGCAGCAAAAGCAACAGCAGCTATTGCTCTCACTGCTGCTTCTTAGATTTACTCAATCAAAGAACCCTTATTGTTTTAAGGGACAATAAACCATCATGGAGAGTGATCATGTCTGTGTCTGAAGGCACCTGACACACTTGTTAAGCGAGAAGGAATCTTATGAAAACGCCCCAGACTCCAAATATGTTGGGTAACCAAAAGGTAATTCCTTCCAGACTGATTAATTCTAGCAAACATGAAAGAGCTGCTGTATTTTCCAGCAGAAAACTGACGGCTGATGACCCCCGGGGCAAACTTCCATCACCCAGAGCGTGCAGTCTGGAAATGCCATGGATAAGATAACAGGGATCCAGATCCTACAGCCTTGTCATGTTTTCCCTCTCTCTTGCAGAGGGAATTGCTCTCTCATTAAAAGAGAGAATTGCCAGAGTGGAATCAAAGCGAAGATACTAAAACAGAGCAAATCAGCCTAAAGTGGGGGTTTAAAAGCAGCTCTCTGAAATGCTGTGCAGGACTCCCCTGCCCATGCAAGGGGAAGAGCTGCCTGTGCAGGTAATAGCTCTGACACAGCCCTGCAAAACAGCTCGCCCTGCAGACCGGCACCTGGCTCAGGCTGCGCTCAGCTAAGTCACTCCTGACGTTCTTTCCCAACCAGGTTCCTGGGCTGCGTGCTGGAAAGCCTGTCAGCAAAGCAGCCTGCTTTACGCAGGTCCTGTAAGGTTAGGGCTGGATGACGCCCTCTGACACTGCCACAGGACACTGTGCTCTGAGGGTGGCAAGAGGCCGAGCCTTTCCTAGGAATGGGGGATTCCTCGGGAATGTGCCTAACCTGCAACAACACTGCAATAGCAGAGAAGTAATCCAGGACATCCTCAACAAACACCCCAATCACCAGCAGCTTATACTGTGTAACAAACCACTGTGAGGCTTTGTATACACAAAAGATTATACATACAGAGATATACACACATACCTAAAATCTCCATATACTTATTCTTATTATCATCTGTATATACTAATCTCTATCAACAATCTGTAGAGAAGGTGATTACAGAGCTGCAGCAACTGAGGGGAAAGTAACAGGAGATAGAATTATTGTGACATCCTTAGCAGATCTGATGTCACGAAAGCAAAGGTGTAATCACAACTATCAGAGATAACCGCAAGATGCTGTTAACCTTTCCCATAACTCTGCAAGTATTTTTCAATCCTGCCTGTTATTTCACTTCAGCAACGCTCTGAGATATGAACAAGCAGAGAAGATGCAATGGGGACAACTGGCAATAGGAGCTGGGACTTGAATCCAGACTTCTGTGTAAGGGTAAAAGGGAATAATCTACGGGGAACAAACGAAAAAAACAAAAGCATGCATATAACCCCCCACCAGCTTACCATTAATCACAGGTGTGAAAACTGCCATGCCTTCAAAGTTTGGGTCAGTTACAGTTTTGTCCAGGATCAGCCCACCGATGCTGTTAAAAAAGGACAGGGCAATGAGGGTGAATCCCTCCCGCTTCCCTAGGACCCAGTCCATTCTGCAAAGAGCCCCCACAATGGGGCACGGCTTCTTCCCCGGGGTCAATTCTGGACTATTTTCTACATCAGAAACCAACTCCTTCTACAGAACAGCTCCAACTGTTAGATAGTCTCCCGTTCTTTTGTTAATGGCGTGATAAGATCTGGAAGTTCCCTTTCCCCACCTTGGAGCAAAAATGCTATTAGTCATGGAAGCTCTATCATCTTCCCCAAAAGTTTCTCTGAACAGGATTTACCAGCAGAACTCAAAATCACATTTTTATGAATGACCATATTTATCTCAGATGAACTCTCTCTCAGATCTCAGCTTGCTCTGAAAAATGTGCCATGGGGAAATGAACTGCCCAGCTCTACCCTCCTGCAAATCTCCCTTTACAGCTGGCTAAAAACAGGACTGAAACCCCACCGCTTGTCTGTGGTGGTCATTTGATCCCTGTTTGGTGTAGCTGCAGTGAGCACATGTGTGTGGACGCAGAGGGAGCTCCCTCCTGGGTTACCTGCTGATGCTCATTGCAACGATGACCGGCTGCCATCCGGACTTGAGCACTTCAGCCAGGGAAGGACTTTGCTTGGCAATAGCAACCCAGAGAGGGATCAGGATGATGAAGACAGCGCAGATCAGAGGGGAAAGGTATTTCAGGTCTGGTGGAAAAAAAAAAGAAGAAATCTTGAATTAACTGCCTCTGGCTCCAAAGGTTGCCAAAATTATACTGCGCATTTCTGGAAAAATGGCAGCAAGGCTTTGGCTCAGATTGAGATGGGAACAAAAGAAATGCGTGAACCAAGATATTCCCACCCCACAACTTGTACTTAATCTAGAGGATGCTGCCTGCAAATGCAAACATCTAGAGGATGTTACCTGCAAATGAGCAAGTCTCTAATTCCATCTCCAGCTGAACAAAACAAAAAGCTACAGGCTTTCTGGCTGCAGGGTACAAACCGAACAGCAGAGCAAAGGGGAAACTCTCCTGTCTGCAATCTATACCACACTGAACACAGCAACACCCTGCATTGTCACCCAAAGCAGCTCCAACTGATTACAGGCGCTTTTAGTGAGAGCTAGCAGGGCTGGTGAACAGCTGGCCTGCTCCTACAGGGACAAATGCTCTTTGCATGTACAAGCCAGTTAAGATCCAGCGTTTCTCTCGTGCTGGCTTACATATGTTTCCATTAGGTGCTTTTTTCCATTCAGTTCGGGTATAACCTTGAAATGACCTTTAGAGTCAATTTAAAAATAAAGAAATGTGCAGCACTAAAACAAAATCAACAAACATGACTCAGAACAACAAGAAACACCTCCAGGCAATGGGGTTGATGCCAGCCCTTTTGATATAAAGCTGCTTCTTCAACAAAGCTCCCCATCTGGTCTCTGTGTTCGGGCCAAAGCCAGCGGGTTGTAACAGAGACTTTGCAGGTAATCTGGAAGATGAAGCAGGCTCCAAGTGTGCATTTCTCAAAATGACATTGCCAGAGCCGCAGGCTACCTGGATAAGTTCGCACTGATTTGATGGTATCTTCCGTGCATCAAGGGCTCTTACACAAAGATGCATATTCTTTGCATATGGCTTTAGTTGGCACTGAAATGCCAACTAAACGTAAATGCCTTTAGTTGGCATTTACATCCTCTGGGATGTAAATGGTCACTGTTTTATCAGAGCTCTGTAGCTCCTGGAGTCACTTACAACCAACACGTTGCATGAGAGCACCAGCTGCTCAAGTGCATCTCCTCCCTCTTCCTCTCCCCTGCGCCAGCTCAGCTCTTGTTTCAGGCAACTAATTCCCTCTCCAACGATGCAGACGCTCTGCGCTGGTGTCCACCAGTGCTCACCAAAGCCCATAAGAAGACTCTTGCTGGGATGAACTGGCTTTGGGCTCTGCACCCCTGAGCAACCCTTGATCGGGCAGGTTGGACTACATGATCTCTAGAGGTCCCTTCCTACCTTGAATATTCTGTGATTCTGTGAACCCAAAGCAAGCTGCAATTTTTAGCACAATTCTCCTCTGCACTATGCAGGATGGGAAGTATCACAGCTAATTTCTAAATAATTAACAATCTTTGCTGGCAGAAGAGTGCTATGCATAAGGAAAGAAGCTGTCCCAGATTGCACATGGTACCCTAAATTCAAGTCCCACTGTTGTTCTCAAGCATTTTAGCAGCATCCACCAGCTAATATTTCAGCATCCAAGAGCCCCTCCTGCCTGCCGTGGTGAAACACAGGTGGCTCTGGTGCCCCAGGGTCTGAGAATTCACCCATGATGTGGGTGATGCTGTTACCTTTAACCAAAGCACAAACCACTCCTTGCTACACACTGGGGAGGGAAAGGGTTCAATTTCAACCACCACTGATGGTGCCTTCCCCTCATCCGATTCACTTCATGCTCCCAATCACCAGCTGTCTGTGGAGTGGGCATTTTCCCTCTCAAGGGGCCAAAGCTATTTAAATGACTCCAAAAATATCACCAATGTATCCCTGGCCGTAAGGAGGTTATCACGTTGTTCTGCCATGCACTCCCCAGGAGATATTATCAGAGGCAAAGCTACTGAAAGACACATTGACTTTACTGAGGCAGGTGCAAAGGCGTCATGGAAAAAGCCTATTGAAAAAAATACACCTTGGAGGCTCAGGGAGAAGGAAGCAATGCCTGGGCCTCTCCTTGCAACGTGCGTTCCCTCGCTCCCTCCCTTGCTGGCATATGGAACTAGTTATGCAAACCGGGAACAGCTGCCCGGCTGAATCTGCTCTCAGTGTGGAGCAGCAGTTTGCATTTCAAATGATATCAGGTTTGCTGGATCTTTTTATTTTCCTGTATGTATTTGAGGTTAGGCGCAGGGGAAACAGCCCAGCACTTTACAAGCAACAATTAAACTTAAAACACCAAGTTGCAGCATGTTTTGAGCTTCCCAGAGTGAGCAGGTGCCAAAGCCTTTGCCAAGGAGCAGCACGGCTGACTCCACGGGCACAACTCCTACCTACAGTCCCGTGAGGATGAAGCAATACACAACTGTCTCCCTCACTCCCAGAAGAAAATATCATCTTGTTCAACCACAATAAAGGTAGCAGAATATTGAACAGATGCCAAAATGCAGAGGTAGCCTGTGTCATAAATGCCAGCCCTGTTATTACCCCCCACACAAAATAGTTTTGCTGGATTACCAGCAGATGCAGGAGCAGAATCCCAGTGTCACATATGTCAACCTTCTGCTCCAAAGCAATGCACAATATGCTCTTGCCCTTTCTTTGACAAATCCCACTTATATTTCTTAGGCTCAGCCTTCCAGTTTGCTACTGAAGGAGAGCCAGGAGAAAATCTTTGTGGTTACTTTCCCATCTTAGCGGGATGCCAGCTCACACTGTGAAACATCCCAGAAACGGGTAAGTGCCCTGCAATTATTTCGCACAGATTCATCCCTTGCTTGCTGGGCTATGAATCCCTGCTGCCCGTTGTACCTATGTATTTGAAGAGTGTACTGCTGATTCCTGCCAGCAGGGAAAGGGTGATCAAGTCTCCAAGGCTCGCTGCTATGGGAGTGGCAACGTTGTCTGGATTGATCCCAACTTTCCTTGCCCCGATGATCACGCCAATCATCACCAGACCTAGAGGAGAAACAGAGCAGGCATCAGAGAATCATCCTGCTGCAATTTGCCCTGGAGTTACTGTTTAGGTTCCCAAAGGGCCATGGGGTCTAGGAGAAGCAAAGACCAGGTTGTCCCCAGCGGCTGAAGCTGGAGACTGGACATCCCCACGAACTCATCCTCTTGCTTTCACCAAGGGCACGACTCTGCCCTTATGAACTTCACCACAGGCCCAGAGGCAGACAAACAAATTCCAGGAATGAAAGGAGATACCAACAGACAGCCCAAAAGTGGACGCTCCCCTCCTGAGCAGCCTAATCTTTCCTGGCTTCAAACAGGCTGAGGCACGAAGCACATTCATAGATAAGCACACAGCAGGCAGGCACCAGCATCCTGGTGTCGTCCCCTGCTCTGGATTTCAAAACACAAGGATATTTTCCATATTACTCTACTATTTTATGAGTTTGCACAACCAAGCAGCAAAGAGCTTCTTTAAATAAAAGCTGAATTAGTTGTTCAGCCCAGCTATCAGAATAATCCTTTGAGGCCTAGAGTCCTTGGGGCTACTTTAATTTACCTGTTTAATTTACATGTTTAATTTACATGTTGATGCATGAGCATCTACAGAATCAGAGGGTATCATCCCTCTTCTACTGTGATCTAAGCTGCAGCTGGTAAAATTCAGCTGCTTTTCAGGTTTACAGAAGAGGAAGAAAGCTTTGCTTCTCCAACTAAGTTAATGAGCACAGACCTAAAACACTGGGGAACATGTAGGAATCCCTCAGCCATTAGATATGTCAAAGGACTGTGGAAAAAAGCTTTTTAATGAAAGCCAAGTTGGTGTTTTTTCTCTTTTGACAATTGCTTGCTTCATCCCATGATTTTCACCCTTTGACTCCAGCTTTAAGGATATACACTTGCTCTAGCGTATCCCTTTCACATAAAAAACTGTCTGCAGAAAGTTCTGCCAGTTCTTTCTTCTCTATTCAGGGAATCCTGCTGCCCTCCCATGGCAGGCCTACAAACTGATCGACTTCAGCTGGCTCAAAGATGCTCCTATCCATCCATCCCAGGCATTTTCCTTGCAGACACGGACAGCCAGGGAAGAGGATCGCCTGGCTCAGAGCCAGCCCCAATTGCTCTGCAGGGCACTGGGTGACTCAAACCCATCTTGAATGTGGTCCAGTGTCGTCTGCTGACGAGCAAAGACTCTCACCTTGCTTTATGCATGGTGTTAGTGTGATTTCCTCTAGGAAAAGGCCACTGTAGCTAATGTGCAACCCAAGCTGACTGGAGAAAGTGTGTCCCTCCACCCCAAAGTGGGTGGCATTTTTTGTGTCTGCCAGATAACATGGGACATTTTGAAAGCTGCTGCAGATGCAGAGCCCAACTCACAACAGAACCTTGAAGAGAAGCAAATACAGCATTCAGAGAGGAGCCCAGGATCCTGGGCTAACGCTCCCTGCATCCTTCCTTCCTTCTCCCTTTCCTTCCTAGACCAAACTGAAGGGATGTCGGGTAGGGTTCCCTGTGAGAAAGGAAAGGTTTTTGCACATTCGAGTGCCACATATTTGACCCGAGGAATCAAAATGACTCACCGAGAGAAAGTGCAGCTATGAAGGCAGTGGTCACGCTGCTGGCACACAGCACAGCCGCCTGGCTTAGCTCCACAGAGCCCTTGGAGATGGCTCCCAGGATCACAGCAGCTACAGCAGCCAGAAGTCCCACCACCGTGGCCTGGACCTGGCGGCCAGAAGACACCTGGTGAGCAACCACCCACATCTCCTCATGGGCAGCCCTAGCTCTGCGCACCTGAAGAGCTACTGCACAGCTTGGAAGTCAAAGCCCCACAGAGATGCTGCTTTAGTAAGGATTTAAGCAGCGTCACTGGAAGGCTCCACTCAAAACAAAATTCTGACAAAGTCTAGAGAAGACTCGGGAGGCCTGCCGAGGGCAGATAACATTTAGCAGAGGACGTTGCGTCCATGAGCAGAAGAATACTGCTGGTCAATACAAAAATGGGATCCTCATCAACGGCACTCTTAGCAAGCTGAAAGCTGTGGAGGGAGATAAGGGAGAGCAGACGCATGACACAAGCCCTGTGGCCTTACCATGTGCTACCTCCAGGCTAGTCACTGGATTTTAACAAGCAGAAAGAACCACATTTCTCCCATCTCTCCCCTGCTATCCAAAGCTCCTTCCCCAACGTTGCCAGTAAATGACAGGTATTATCTAGGGAATGTTGTGAAATAGAGTGCCACAGTGCTCTCTGCAAAGAAGAGAGCTTTTTCAGGTTGTGCTCAAAGGCAAAGAATATCTAGATCTGTTTCACAGCTAAGCTACAAGCTCCAGGGCTACAGGGAGCTTTGCTGGTCAAGTCCTGCGCTCTACTTTGCTCTGTTGAGAACACGCTGCCCCAAATCAACAGCTCGGAATCCGGCACCGCTGGGCACAGATACCGTCAGGCTGCAGCACAGCCAGAGGACAGGACCTTCTTTCTCTCCCACCTGAAGCGACTCACCTGGATCAGGGCTAAATTGCAGGTGGCCAATTTCCACTGCTTCTGGGTATCATCCATCTGTCCGGTGTTAGCCTAGGAGCCAAGAGAGACAATCTGAACACCTACCCATGGTACAGGCTATTGCTGAGGGTAGCAAGGCAGCTTTCTTGGGTCTCTTTGGGAAGGAACTGCTAAAGCCAGAGAGAGGGGAGATCAGGTCAGCATCTTCCCATTTTCCCCACACTTTACTCTTCGCAGGGATCCAGCTGTGCTCCAGCTCAGCTCATCCTAAAAGCTCTGGCAAGTCCAGAGTTCTCCCAAATAGAGAGACTGGGAATCCCACCGAAGGATCAAATCCAGATCAAAGCTTGTGACAAAAGCTATCACAGATCCCAAGAAGCCTGAGGCCACTCGACCCAAGGTGAGATGGCTGGGAAGAAAAGCCGTAGGTTGCTCAAGCCTCAATAAGCACAGAAAGGGCAACCCAACGCCGTGGTTGAGGGCTGAGGAGCCCTTGCTTTATCTCATTCATGTGTCTGTCACAGGGCCCCAGATATCAGCAGGGACTACTTCACCTTCCAGGAGCTGACAAAAATTCTCTGTTCCAGTTACAAAATGAGGGCAAAACCATTATTTTAATATTCAGACATCACTTGCTTTTACTTAGCAGGAGGGAGGATGTCTCAAACACATTGTGTGTTATATGAAAGCAGATTCTGTTGACAGGTCCTGCTAATCCCTCCCCCCCGACCTCAATAATACTCACAGCAGTAGAGAGTCTGGACGCCAGCGTCATTTCAAGATTACCCTTTAGACCAACCAGCGCAGGAACCAGGATAAAAACTTCCGTAATTGTCTGAAACACATCCCAGTGCTAGAAGGAAGAAAGAAAACAGGGTAGTTTGTGATGCTGTCCAGTCCAATACTGTTATTTCAGAGGGAAATGGGTTCCCATCTCACCCCATGCTCTACAGGTGCACACGATGCACAAGGGGGTGGATGCTGGCTCAGAGCTGGTGGCATTTTGGGAGTCAAAGAAGCAATTTTTAGTTCATAACCTTCGTTTTGATCTCACACACAGCAAAGCAGTAGCCTAAAGGGGTAGGAATCTTCTTGCTGAGGCAGGAGATTTTGGCAGGTCACAAATCAGTATGTAGCCCTTGCATTAGTGAAGAACAACATGAAAACTAATTAGGAAATGAAATACAATGAGCTTTCCATATCCTGTACTAACGATAGGTAATTGCAACACCTATGGCTATGCAGACTCAGAAGAGTGCATACGAAGACCTGGAAAGCGTTTAACAAAAACAAATCTAATCCAAATCTGTAACTAAGTGCTGAGCCAAAAGCAAGTATCTAAGGTTGGGAGTGGGAGGGAAGACTTTCTCATTGCTTTTCCATGTTCAGTTCATTAGCCTTTCCGTTAACAAGCATGCTCTCAGAACAGCTGGAATAAGGATCTGGAATTAAGACAGTCCACAAGCCAGAGCTGCATCATTTTGATTATTATTGCTCCTCTGAAACTGAACTATAAATAATCCTTGAATCAGTTGCACTGGAAATGATCTGAAACCTGAAGTAACTGCTGATTAACACACATAATTTATCTACCATATAGTGCCCGGGAAGATAACTCATGAATCATCCCCTGTAGGATATGGAATGAAAACCAACTAGCCCAATGTCCAAAAGCAGAATGTACAAACATAAGGACAACTGCAATGAGGCAGACTAAAGGTCCACCTGTCCCATCCTTACCTCCAAGAATGGCCAAATTGAGATGTATAAAAGAATAATTTGCATATAGGACAAGTATATGGGATAAGTCTCCTAAGTAATTTGCAGCCTGCAACTGTCTGCAACAGGGTAAGAGCTGGATTAGTTTCTGTGCATTTTGTAGTGTCTGAAGGGCTTCTTTCAACCACTTGTCCAATCTCCTCTCCAACTTGTCACCCTGCAACAAACATTTCTATAGCTTAGCTACACGTTGCATGAGGGATCCCCTCCTCTTCATTTGTCCCTGGCTAGTTTCACATGGGGGTCCCTAATTCTGGTGCTGGGGGCAAACTGAAGGACAGATCCCTGTCGACATTCGCCAGGTCACTCGGGCCTGGACAAAGCTGGAAATCCCACCAGGTGGGACAGGCTCTAAAGATGTGGAAACATTCAGACCACTGCCTGTTGTGAAATACATACAGGTATTAACGGCTCCGTGCTCTGCTCTGCCTGTGCCGTGTGAAGCCGTGGGAACCTGGGGATGCGGCAGTCCGCTGGGAAGGCTTCACAGCTTCCTTCTGGATTACAACCAGGGAAGAGCAGCTATTACTATCAATGCAAAAAGGCACTTCTGGCAATCGTGACCTGGAAAAGGACATGCTCCCTAAGGCTAAAAGCTACTTACTGTCAAATAAATAACACACAAGACTACAGTAGTCCCCTTTCTTGTCACACTGCAGTTTTGCTTGAATTTGTTAATAAGAGAAAAACTACCATCGAGAATATTTTCCTTAAAGATTCAAAGCCCCTTTTCTTCTATCTCCTTAGTTAGAATACAGAAAGTTCTGAACACAAACTTGACACCTGCAGAAGAAGCAGGAGAAAAAACAGGCTTCATAGTCACAATATAAATAACCCAAACATTTAAAATAAATAAATGCAGAGACATTGACACACGTGACCTTGCGTATGTTGCACATGAAGAGACATATAAATAAAAAGCAAGAGACAAGCCCAACTGTTTATATTTTCTATGTAGGTCACCTTTGGAAAATGTCACTTTGTCAGACCAATGTGAGCTTTAATCCCTGAATTTATGTATAAATTTTACAGGTTTCAGGCAATCCAAGCCTAAGGTTAGCATGTGAGTCTTGAAACTCTGTCTTACATACAATTAAACTGAAAGGCTTTAGTAAGTAATAACAATCAAACAATTGTGCTAAAAAACCCAAAATCACTGATTCAAATGTTTCTGTTAAAGGCTCATTAGTCTAGTCCAAGAACAGATTCAAAGTGATTTATACCACAGTAGCCAGGACTCCATTCTCCACTATAACAGCAACTGCACAAATACAGAGCAAATAGATGTCCTCAGAACCCGAGACATCTTCTCTGTTTCCTATTCCAGGGCATCCATCCTCCTGGGACAGCAGCTAAAATCTGCAGACCCATTGTCCTTAGCAACTCAACAGAAAAATGAAAAGATCTTGGACCATGAAACACCAGCCACTCCAAAATCCCTTTCAATGCTAACCACGTCACAGGTTTTTATCAAGAAGGGATAGGGAACAGCTTGTGTCTGTGGCTTTTTCTTGGACCATGCTCAACTGCGGTGGTGCAGAAGTGCTGATTTCTTCCTGAATTCTCTGCTTCGAAACCTGATCTTCAAACTTCACCACCATTCCCAACCTTACAGTAAAGCAAGGCCAAACACTGCAAGGTTGGTGTCTCCCCAGCAATGCCAGCCAGGCTGGAATCCGGATCAAGCAGCCAGCCAAGGAGCACGGCAGCAGAGGTAGAAGTACCAAGCAAGATTTTGCCAAGCTCTGGGTCCTGCATAGCCAGTTCTTTGGGCATCCTTATGTGATGGTGTGAGACACCCATCAGCGTGTCTTTGATATCAACCTGTCTGGACAGATTTCTCCTTGATTTGTTTAATTTTTTTTTTTTAAGAGTAACTTAGAAAAGCATTGATTTCATCACTGGGCACACTGAGAAACAATTCTGAAGTCCTGTAAAGTTTAAAGGGACAGCAAGAAACAATTTCTACCTTGTTCTCATCTTCGTCACAGTATCAGCCCTGCGAACAACGGAGCCAGCCGGACTCCGAGCTCAGGGCACTGCGTTTCTGAGCAGAGCCACTGAACTCACACGTCCACTCCAGATACCACTTCTGAGCTTCCATATCTCCCTGGCAAAGGCAGACACAGAGTTTCCTAAGGACGTATTGCAGGGACTGGAAATAGTTGAAAAACATTCCTCAGTCAGACCATTCCCTGCAAAAAGGGTAAATTACAGACTCCTAGAAAAGCCTCTAGTAGCGGTGGTATGAAACCTCATCAACACCACTATAAGTCTTAAGATATCAGGCATCAGGTCAAAAAAACCCAACCCATCAAATAAATAAACCATAAAAAAAAAAAAAAAAAAAAAAAAAA